GGAAACAACATACAAAATTTATGGGGTGTCGCAAAAACAGTTCTAAGAGAAAGTTTATAGAGATAAATGCCTACATTAAGGAAAAAAAAATCTCAAATAAGCAACCTAACTTTACATACCAGGGAACTAGGAAAAGAACCAACTAAGCCTAAAGTTAGCAAAAGGAAGAGAATAGCAAAGATCTGAGCAGATATAAGTGAAATAGAAATTAGGAAAACAATAGAAAAAAATCAATGGAACTAAGAGCTTTCTTTTTAAAAGATAAAATTAACAAACCTTTAGCTAGACTAAATAAGATGAAAGAGAAAACTCAAAATTAGAAATAATGATGGCGATATTACAACCGACACCACAAAAATATAAAGAAACATGAGACGACTGTGAACAATTATATGCCAACAAATTGCACAACCTAAAAGAAATGGCTAAATTCCTAGCAACATACAACCAACCTCCCAAGACTGAATCATGAAGAAATAGAAAATCGGAATTGATGCATAACTAGAAAGGAGATTGACTCAATAATCAAAAACCTCCAAACGAAGAAAAGCCCAGGATCAGATGGCTTTACTAGTGAATTCTACCAAGCATTTAAAGAAGAATTAATGCTAGTCCTTCTCAAACTCTTCCAAAAAGTTGAAACTCATGATCTGAGGCCAATATTAACATGAATACCAAAGCCAGACAAGAATACTATGAGAAAAGAAAATTATAGGTCAGTATGCTGATGAACCTTGCTGTAAAAATCCCCACATAAAATACTAGCAAACAGAATCCAACAGCGTATTTACAGGCTCATACACCATGAGCAAGTGGGATTTATTCCTGAGATAAAAGGATGGTTGAAAATATGCAAATCAGTAAGTTTGGTATACCATATTAACAGAATGAAGGATAAAAATCTTATGACATCTCAATAGATGCAGAAAAAAAGCATAGGGCAAAATTCAACATCCTTTCATTATAAAAACTTTCATTAAGTCAAGTATAGAGAAAAGAAGGAATACTTTAGTAAAGGCAGGCATACAGCTAACATCAGACTTGACAATGAAGAGCTAAAAGCTTTTCCTCTAAGATTAGGAACAAGACAAAGATGCTCAATCTCTCCACTTCTAGTCAATATATTACTGGAAGTCCCAGCCAGAACAATTAGGTATAAATAAACAAATAAATAAATCTTATTATATTGGAAAGAAAGAATTGTCTGTTTACACATGACACACATGACATGATTTTATATACAGAAAACCTTAAAGCTTCCACAAAAACACTATTAGAAGTAATAAACAAATTCAGTAAAGTTGCAGGATAGAAAATTAATTAAAAATCGATTGAATTTCTACACATTAGCAACAAACTATGTGAAAAAGAAATTAAGAAAACAATCCCATTTATAGTAACACTAAAAACAATAAAACACAGGAATAAATGTTACCAAGGAGGTGAAATACCTGTATACTGAAAACTATAAGACATTGGTGAAAAAAACTGAAAAAAAATATAGAAATAAATGGAAGTCTATCTCATGTTCTTGGATTAGAAGAATTAATACTGTTAATATACTGAACATACTATCCAAAGTAATCTACAGATTCAGTGCAATTCCTATGAAAATTCCAATGGCATTTTTCACAGTAATAGAACAACCCTAAATTTATATGGAACCAGAAAAGCCCCTGAATAGCCAAAGCAATTTTGAGAAAGAACAAATCTGGATACATCATACTTCTTGACTTAAAACTATATTATGAGGCTATAGTATTTAAAATATTATGGTACGGCATAAAAACTGATCTGTGATCTGTTTAATCAAAAATGACCAGTGAAACAGATCCAATGATCAAAGATAGATCAATGAAACAGAATAGGGGGCCCAGAAATAAATATATACATAATGGTCAATTAATTTTCAACAAAGGAACCAGAATAGACAATAGGGAAAGAATAGTTTCTTCAATAAATAGTGTTGAGAAACTGAAATTCACACGCAAAAGAATTCAATTGAACTCCTATCTTTCACCATTCACAAAAAATTAACTTGAAACCGATTAAAGACTTAAATGTAAAACTGAAACTGCAATACCCCTAGAAGAAAGCAAGGGAATATTTCTTGACATTCGTCCTTGCAGTTATTTTTTTTTTATTGATATGACAACAAAAGCACAGGCAACAAAGCCACAATAAACAAGTGAGACTATATCAAACTAAAAAGCTTCTGCACAGCAAAGGAAAGAGCATGAAAATGAAAAGAACCTGTTGGAATGAGAGAAAATACTTATGCAACATATGTTTGACAAGGGGTTCATATTTGTAATATATAAGGAACTTACACAATTCAGTAGCAAAAAACCACAAATAGTCCAATTAAAAAATGGGTAAAGGACCTAAATAGACTTTTCTCTGAAAAGGATGCCCAAATGACCAACTGATACATGAAAGGTGCTCAGCATCACTAATCATCAGGGAATACAAACCACAATGAGATATCGCCTTAAATCTATTAGGATGTCTATTATTAAAAAAATAAAACAGAAAAAAAAAGATAAAAAGCAAAAGAGAACAATAAAAACAACATGTTGGTAAGGATATGAAGAAAAGATAACCTTTGTTATGGGAATCTAAACTGGAACAGCCATTATGGAAAACAGTATAGATGTTCCTCAAAAAATTAAAACTAGAACTGCCATACTATCCAGCAATCCACTTCTGGGTGTATATCCAAAGGAAATGAAGTCAGAAGAGATATTTGCACTCATGTTCATTGCAGCGTTATTCACAATAGCCAAAGTATGAAAACAACGTAAGTGCTCATGGATGAATGAATGGATAAGGAAAATGTGGGATAGATATGCAATGGAATATTATTCAACCTTAAAGCAGCCTTCTTTGATAACACAGATATCTCAGAGGATAAGTGCAATAAGACAGAGACTGAGAAAGACAGATACTGATAGTATCACTTACATGTGTAATCTAAAAAACAAACAAACAAACAAACTCAGAGTAACAGAATAGAATCATAGTTGCCAATGGACTGGGGGTGAGGCGAAGGGGAGATGTGGTCGAGGGGATACAAGCCTTCAGTGATAAGATGAATAATTTCTGAGGATCTACTGTTTAGTGACTATAGTTAATAATACTACATTGTATACTTCAAATTTGCTAAGAGAGTAGATCTTAAATGTTTTCAACACACACAACACACACATAAAGGTAATGGATATGTTAATTAGATTGTCATAATTTCATAATGTACATGTATATCAAATGTTATTGTACACTTTAAATATATATAATTTCATTTGTCAGTACACAAAAAGTCTCCTCTGCCAAACACACACACACACATACAGACATACACACACAGAAGGCAGACCAGTCTGGGCCCCTGGGTGGCTCAGTTGGTTAAGCGACTGCCTTCGGCTCAGGTCATGATGCTGGAGTCCTGGGATCGAGTCCCACATCGGGCTCCCTGCTCAGCAGGGAGTCTGCTTCTCCCTCTGACCCTCTTCCCTCTCGTGCTCTCTATCTCTCATTCTCTCTCTCTCTCAAATAAATAAATAAAATCTTTAAAAAAAAAAAAAAGAAGGCAGACCAGTCTTATTCAGAATAAAAAGTGAAATTCTTTCAATCAGCTCTTTCACAAAACTTAACTTGACCAATTGATAATTGGTCAAACTTACATATTAAAAAAATTGAAATAACCTTGGAAAAAATTGGGAAATTATTTATTATTGCATCTTTTTGTTTAGCAGCTTTTAGCTGTGTCAAGAGCCCTACCTTTTGTCTCCGGTAATGCTTCTCTATATTATTATATATGTGTTTTTTTCTGATGTGTATATTCCATATTCCTTTTCCAGATGTGTTTCATTTGGGGGTTATTGAATAAACAAGGTCCTAAATGAATCAAATATGTGTGAGAAAAATAATGTGATGAACCGAAATAAAAATAGTATCCACTTAGGTAACATCTGTTTAGGCGATGTTTGGGATAACAATAAAATTCTTATAAGAAGATACATTTTTGCCAAAGAGGAAACTGGTCCCTTTGCATCCTAGCCCAAAACAAACTTTACTGGATTATTATTTTTAAAATTTCACATATCTTATTTTGTTCTGGGTTCTGCACATTTTTTTTTTTTTGGCTTCTAGGATGTCATAAGCAAAAATAGTATCACTGGATTTTGGAACAGGTATAGGAATAAATATATAGACTACAGCAAGCACACACAAAAAATAATTTCTTATTGATTTGATAATCTGTGGTTGGTTTTACAGCAATATACTAATTTTATTGAATATCATTGTGCTCATAGGATCATGAAATTTGGCATGTAATTTGTATCAAGTGTTCTGTCTGTATCATTTTATTTTATTATTTTTTAAAGATTTTATTTATTTATTCATGAGAGACACAGAGAGAGAGAGAGCGAGAGAGAGGCAGAGGGAGAAGCAGGCTCCCAAGGAGCAGGGAGCCCGATGCGGGACTCGATCCCAGGACTCTGGGATCATGACCTGAGCCGAAGGCAGACGCTTAACCATCTGAGCCACCCAGGCGCCCCTGTCTGTATCATTTTAAAGAGCAATAGCTATGTATTAATCACATAACTCTATATGGAATCATATTAACTGCAATACAAAACTGTCTCCACCAGCATGACTCCTAGCTTTGGAACTGAGTTTTAAATGGATTATGTTGATGTCCATAGAAAGATCACAACTAATAAAAGAACTAGTTGGCATTAAGCCCTCTCTTCTCTGCAATCCCCTGGTACTTTATGAGTTCTTCATTTAAGAATTTAATTCATTCTGCTTTGATTTAGTGTAATTTCTCTGTAGGCTCATCAGCTCCCACAAACTGTGAGTTTCTTGTATAGTGTCCTGTCGCATTCATCTTTCATATCCCACATCTATTAATAATTGTTCATATATTAAATGGTTAACTCAACAGAATATTTTTTTTCCTTTTTCTTAGAATGTGCTTTTTAAATTTCTTCCAGAAATTTGGTACAACTGTACAAAAGTGAAGATGACACAGAAATTTCAAAGAAGATTAAGACTCACTGGACTTCTTTGGGCCTAGAAGAGGTACAGTTTGTAAATTACTCCGTGCTGCTTCATCTGGCAGGCCCGTCTGCCAGCTCTGTGATTCTGGGTAGCAGCGGCCAATGCTTTCGTCCTAATGGCCAACCCTGCAGCGAAGAAGCCAGAACACATAGCAGCCAAGATCTGCTCTACTCATATGCAGCCTATTCTGCCAAAGGAACTCTCGAGGTAATATGACCATTTGTCTCTGTCATTTATAGTGAAATGGAATTAGAAAACAACAGCTTTCATCTAAATTGAACTAACTGGCAAGATGCAACATAAAAAAGTGACCATTAAATGTTCTCAGTGTGGAGGTGCCAGGGAAGGGGAAGGAAGACTTGGATTGCCTGACCTTTTTTCTTGTCATATTTTGAAAGCGAAAACATGTTAGAAGAATTTAATTCAAAAGTGTTGAATGTGTGACCGAGTTATTCACATTTGCTTAGGACGCGTTTGTTTTATTTTTGGGGGTTTTGAAGAGGCAAATTTTAATGGATTGACATGGGCAGAAGGGAGAAATGGAGGGAGTTGTGTTTTGAAGTTGTGTACACACACAAGAAATGGAGTGGAAAATCGATGTGATTATTCACAGATTTAAGATTTGAAATACAGTGCTTCTGCTTTCTTGGTGGAAAACACAGGAGATAGGGAGTCAGGTGTAGACTATTGCTTTACTTCTTCTGCTTAGCTAGTTTTTTGGCTCAGTGCTGAAGCACGTGCCTTCTAGAGTCACACAGACGGGGAGTTTCAAATCTCAGTTCCCTCAATACCTGCTCTTACTTAGCCATCTAGGGCTGAGTTCCCTCATCTCTGTGATGGGGATAAAAATAGTTCCAACTTTTATAAGGTTGTTGTGAAAATTAAACTAGCTAATATATGGAAACCTTGGAGAACAGAGCCTAGCCCACAGTAAGGACAAAATACCAGTTAGATATAATATATACTTGGTCCTGTTTCCTTTATATAGGAAGGTTTTCTGTCTCCATGTAAAAATACCATTTTAATAAACAAATTTAGTTTTTTTTACAAACCTTTAGATTGCCTCATTTAATACAAATGAAATAATCATATGTTTCTGATTGTTGTTAATTATTGGCGGAGCTTTTTCAGAATCTATTAACTCTGATTAATACATTAAATATTTAAATCATTTGAAGTTACTTCACAGATACATTCCTGATTTTTGTTTTTTGTTTGTTTGTTTTTCATTATGGGGGGAGAGGGTGGGGAGAGAGTTCTTTTACTGGTGCTTCAGCGTTGTTTGCACTCCGTTATGTCATTCTCTGACTTTTAGCAGAAGGACTGCATATAACCACTACCATAGAAAGCCTTATGATTAATTAAAAGTTAATATAATTGTAAATGTCTGCAGTATTTCTAGGGTAGGACTCATGTAATTTGATTTGATAAATATATACTGTTTATAGTAGGCAATGATGGGAGGGAGGCTGCCAGCACCCTTTTGTTGGTTCACAAGCTCTGATCTCAAGTCAAGATTCTAAAGTTAGCCCACATATTTTCTTCAGACTCTCAAACCTTCATTAGCCCCCACACATTTCCAGTACCCTCTCTATCCCAGTTGATTCAGCACAGTAATCTCCTTGTCTTGAAAACAAAGCAAAACATGTCCAAAACCCAGAACAACAAAACCCCCAGGAGCCCGAGTGGGTCCTTGGAATCACCCCCATCTATTTGCTTTTCAATTTGCTCTGGCAAATTATTAATTATTCCTTGACCTAGGTGATATGGAAAAGCCGTAACATTACAACTTGTGTCCCTGTTTCCTCAGGAGGGCCCTCTGATAACCTGCTGGGCCGTTGGGTTGGCTTTTTGTGTTTCCTTGTAGCCACATCTCTAAGAGTTTCCTACACATTTATTTTATCAGTTATAAATGCTTAAATTTTCATTGTTTCATATAAAAGAAACCAAGGTCTACTACAGAACCATGGAACTACTTAAATGCCCATGAAGACATAAGTCATTTTGGGACCATTTAGCACTTACAAATGCTATAAAAACTACCATTTTTAAGAAAGAAGTCTTGAGAAAGATTTGAAGAAGCTTTTAAAAGGGAAAAATTAACTTTGCTGTCAATGTAGAAATATACTCTATGTTTGAAATACAGGCCTAAATAAAAGGGAGTAGCGTTAAAGGAATTAAAATGCAATTATGGATAAAACAAACACCTTGTATTTGGAGAATGTAATTTGAGAAATTAACCACGCAAATTAGATGAAGACACTAATGATAACTATTTTTAGAATTATATTAATAATTCAAATCTATTATACAAAGTACATAATAATTTAAATACTTACATCAATAAATTTATCGATGCTGATTTTTTAAGAACTTAACGATATTAGCATTATGATTTTCAAAAGCAAAGCAATTTCTAGGTGACTATTTTATATGCATATAGAACATTTGCATATATTTTCTGTACATATTTTAGACCGATGTATTATTGAAACTCGCATATTCTAATTAATAGAGTGTGGGTGATTTTCTGTATCTCTTCAGACCACTCTTAATTAAAATCAAGTTTGAGAGGTTGCTGCTGATGATTCAGGCTTACCTACTTTTTGATTTTGAGTACATTGTATTTGCATGAATTTCTATCAGGCTGTGCCGTTAACAAGTTCTTAAATTATTCTAGTCTGACTGCCAGCAAAGCTCCCCACTACTTTTGCTTTTGACAAGGTTATTTGTAAAAGAGGAGTGCCCCTTTCCTTTGAAGAGCTGTCATGTCCATTCATCATATGACTACTTTGTATAACTTCCAATTGTTGCTTTTTGGTAACAGTCTAAACAGCATTTGTGATATCTGAGATCTACTTGGAAAACCTACTTAGTGCCAGCATGATGGATGGTATACTTTGCAACTTCTTTGTAATTCTTTGTGTGCTAGAAAGGTGACATTGTTTACCCCATCATAATGACAGGTGGGTCAGTAGAGGGGTCCTAAGGAGAGTTGTCCTGTCAGATGCAAAATACATATAAAATGGATACATAAATAATTTAACGTGAGTGAGGTTAGCTTCAGGGAATAAACAACGATTTATATTTTTATTAAAAGATAAATATCAACTATAATGTCATCATACTGGTAAAGACATTGGTAGTGAGTGCTGACAATGTCTAGTCAGTTTTAAAAATAGAATATATGGCCTTATGTAATTCCTGTGCAATTATTTCTTTTGTCATTTGTGAAACCCACACAGATTCAGAAAAGCAAAGGAAACAATATTTAATATAGGTTGGTGAGATTTGAGCTGTCCTTATATTTTTGAACAGAGAATTTGTTTTCACTTTAATACACTTCATAGATTTGGGAATTTTCTTTCTGTTAAGTATTATTTTGTGTCTGAAAGTAAAAACAAATAATGCAATTTTATGGAGAAACTTATTTTCAGCAACTCATTAACTGTGCGTAAGATAGGTTGTCATCAACACATTTTATCACTGCCCCATGCCTCAGAGAGCCCAGAGTTGCATCCTGCCTTATTAGCTGCACAACTGTGGGTTGCTCATTTTGGTTCTCTAAGCCTCAGTGTTCTCATCTGTATAGGGGAACAATAATAGTACCTCAACTGGTTGTTGTGGGCCAAAATGATGCAAACCATGTAGAGAGTGCATTGAGTGCACTTAGCACTCTGTAAGTGTTAGCTGTTGTTATTATGTGGTATAAAATAAACACATTTAAATGGGAGAAATTAAAATATGAGAACTATTTATCATGATTTGGAAGTACAAACTTTTTATCATTTGTCTGAATGTAATCTTCCTGTCTTCTGCTTAATATGACAAATATTAATCATTAGGGAGGAAAATGCCTTGTCAAGTATGAATAAATAAAAAAATACATATAACATCTGATCTGATTTTTAATTTAAAACTAAAGGCTCAAAGAAACTAGGAGTAAATATTTTATTTTTGAATGCAGAATGACAAATCATGTCCACTTGCGCCTGAAAAGAATTGCTTGTCTTCGTCTTGTAAAATATCAAGCCGTAGTGTAACACATGAAATCTAAACACTATGTTGAATTGTATCAAGTAGTCTTAAAGAGAAAAAACATAACCACTGCATGGAATCCTTGGAGAACTTACAATCAGATATCTATTTTCTCGTTTAATATTCCTAAACAAAAACAAACTTATCGAGTGTTATGGCAAAAGGCAGAACTGTATACATTTGGCTGTGAATGCTTCCTGTTATAGATAAGAAAATTATCAGAAAGCTAAATAAAGGAATAGAATGGAATTGCATTATTTAAACTTTTGTCATCTGGGTAAGAAGATGAAGCTACTGTCTCACCAACAGAAAAATGTGAACTTGGTGCAAGCAGTTTTTCAATGTTGAAAATGACTTTGCATTTTATTTTTCTCCCTTCTTTTCCCTTGTGGAATCCATCTTTTGGTCAACAGTGAGTGCACAATTGTGAGATAAATGGCTGTGAGCACACTTGTATATAATGTTGTTACCTTTTAAAAATCTGCATAAAATTTCTTGGCCCAATATGACATTTTCCTTCTGGTTTCATGAACTTTGTGCATGAACCAACTTAGTTAACAAAACAGTTCCATAATTGCTGCTTTTTTATTTGAACATAATAACCCTGGGGTTAATTTCCACATATTTAAAGTACATATTTTTCCTGTATTTAAAATTTAGACCGAAGCATTTACAAATACAGAAGTGACCTATCACAACATGTTGTCTAGAGTTAAATCGTTTGTTAGAGAGGTTACATCTTCTACCTGGGAAAGAGAACAAAAGCCTATTTTATGAAATAAAAGTTTTGAAACAAAAGATAGCTGAATTCAGCTAAGTGGTTGAAGTGCAATGAATTTTCTTTCCCTCTTCATTAAAACAAATATGCCATTTTTAGTGAGAAAGTATTTGACTACAAAGTTCTAATTTGATCAAAGTTATTTCTAAAATTCTGAATCATCAAAATTAAGTGTTATCTGACAGAAAATTCTAGGTCGGCATTTTTATTTTTAGTGTTGACATGATTTAAAGCATGCCACTTACCAAGTTGGGTGATAATGTAACATTCTCAGCAAATTTAATTTATATTTTAATCTCCATAAAGTACTCGTATTTAAATATGTACCTTACAGATAGAATTTACCTCATTTCAGTAGGTGCTGCAAATTAAATTTTTTCAGAACTAGAAA